CCCCCCCGGAAAGTGCTATTTCCCGGCTTTTAAAATCCCTAGAAAGGGACGCATCTTGCTGGACCTGCTGGATTTGGGCTGCTCTGCGGCTTTCCTTCCGGCTGCAGCTCGAGGGGAAGCGACTGAGCGCAGTCAGTCAGCGCAGGAGTTGTGCTGTTTGTCACATAAATGGGGCACTGACAGTTTCTGGCTGTAAAATACGCAGAAACACTGCAGAACAGTCTGAGGGAGCTGGTGGCAGGAGCAGAGGCGACACTGTCCTGCGGTGTCTGGGCATCCCAGTCCCCCACGTTTTCCCATGCTGCAGCCTGCCCACCACCCGAGGTCTCTCACCTGCAGCTCCGCACTCCCAGCCCCAGCCCCAAAACGTCATCTGGGAGGTGCTGGGCTGGACATTGTGCTGTGTGTCGCCATAGGAGTGATCGCAAGCCTGGAAGTCCCATTTAACATCCCTCACATTCATCACAGACTTGTTTACCTACCCTGAGCTCCTGTTTGCAGGATTGTACCCATAGGTGTTGACCTGACCAACCTGTCTGCCACTTTGTCCAAACAGCGGCACTTGGGAGATAGGCGGGTGGCGATTGCGTGCCGCGTGTGCGTGTCCCTGCTCTGCCTGCTTTAGGGACGTGGCCAGCAGTTGCCAGCAGTTCTCAGGCGCGTTTTCTCTCTCCAGCTGCAGCCTGTGCCATGGCTCCTGGGAAGAAGATCACAGCCAAGATTAAGAAGACGCTGCCAGTGACAGGCCCCCAGGCTCCAACGCTCAGTGAACTGATGAAGTGGTACTGTTTGAATACCAACACGCACGGCTGTCGGCGCATTGTGGTGTCCAGGGGACGCTTGCGCAGGTTCATCTGGATTTTGCTAACTCTGAGTGCTGTTGGACTGATCCTGTGGCAGTGTGCTGAGCTCCTCATGAACTATTACAGCGCTTCAGTGTCCGTCACGGTCCAGTTCCAGAAGTTGCCCTTCCCGGCCGTCACCATTTGCAACATCAACCCCTACAAGTAAGACATACGGTTCCTGGGAGGTTTGCCCGTCCTGGCAAGCCCGCTTCGTGCATGAGGGACCCATGCAGGCAGCTCTCTTCTAAATTCATCTTCTCTTAATTGTTCTAGCACCAAACCTTCCATCAGCTTTTTGCTCTGCAGTGCTGCTCTTCAGCAGTCTTTCCTTACTGTTAGTTTTCCCTCTACAGCACTTTGAATAATGTACCTACCTCTGTGCTAATGCTCTTCAGACACTTGTAGATTATCATCACATCCTTCACTTACTGCCTGCTAGGTCTATTTAGCTTTCAGCTCAAGGCAGACCCTGATCATTTCTGTGGTTCTCTTTAAATTCCCCTTTTCGCAGGACTGGAGTTTCAAGGGTAGTAAACAATGCCATTTCCTGAAGAACAGGGGACATCTGTCACCTCTTCTTCTTCTTTTTTTTTTTTTTTATTCCTTATAGGATGCTTTGACATTAACAATCAACAATTAAGCTGTTTTTTCCTGCCTAATTACACTTTACATTGATGTCTATTCTGCTGTCAGCTGTCCATCACAGTCCCTCCGGGCATTTCAACTCTCTGGGTCCCTCTTGTCTCCAGGAATCTGCATCTTAGATTGTATTATCACCGATGCAGTAGTCAGATTTTCCCAGCTGAGTTCTTTTATATTTCCTGTCGACCTCTTTGATCTTTCTTGTGTTTTACAATTCTTCTCCTTGTGGTAATACCCTGGAACATGCACTGTATCCTTGAGCTTACTAACAAAATCTTCAAGGAGCTTGGGAGTCTGCGAGCACTTTCTCCATAGCTCGGTCTATTTTGCTTATGATGGTCCGTTCTTCGAGATCTCCCAGGGGGCATAACTGCGCCTGCCCACACGGATTTAAATTCATATAATACCAAGAAAGAAAGCATTCATGGTCAGTGTGTGACAAAAAATTCTGTCCTGGGTGATTAGTTTCACAGTGCAGTGGACAAAATACTGCAATTAAGTGGTTAGATGAGATGAATGACATGTAGTTTTATATTGCGTTTTCTCTAACGCAGGTACAGTGCAATGAAAGACTATTTATCTGAATTGGACAAAGAGACAAAAAATGCTTTGGAGACTTTCTATGGATTTTCAGAGGGCAAATCCAAGGTGCGTCGTTCGGTTGGTGACAGAAACACCACAGGGAGTGAATTCTTCAAACAGATCCCACTGCTGAAATTTGAAGACTTCTCTAGGACAGTTACCGACCTTCGCAGTGGCCAGAAGAGGAAAATTGAGGGCAATGTTTTTCACAAAGATTCATCCATAGTGAACTCCGGGGAGTCAAATGATATCATCGGCTTTCAGCTGGTAAGCGTCATGCTTCCTTGGACAGTAAGTTCCTTGTGGAGGCAAGGGATAGGTATTATGGGTTGGTGTCACACACACCGATTTCCTTGCTTGCGTAGATGGTGTTATAGTGAATAAAACTCTTCTGCCATGCATCCGTGGCTGCCTGCAGATTCATCTGCAACCCTCCGGAAGAGAAATGCCTTCCTGAAGTCTAGCCAAAACAGACTTAGTGCCACCCGTGACCTTTCCTTTGATGAATGAAAGGTTTTTGGGGCCCCTTTGTCCCCTGGCTGCCACTAGAACTTCATGCTTGATTTTTACTGTGAAAAAGAAACTACGTCACACATACTTTATTGAATACATATTTTCTTTTCATCTGAAAAGAGTGCTTTTTCCTCTTTGTAATTACTAGTGCGATGCAAACAACAGCAGCGAGTGTGCCCTTTATACATTCAGTTCTGGCGTTAATGCTATCCAAGAATGGTACAAGTTGCATTACATGAACATCATGGCACAAATTCCCTTGGAAACTAAAGAAAAATTGAGTTATTCTGCTGATGACCTTCTACTGACATGTTTCTTTGATGGCCTATCTTGTGACAAAAGGTCAGTGCACAGAAAATACCTGCCGGTTTAACAGCTTGTTTCTAAATATACAGTATGTAGGAATTGAGTATTTGCTATTTGCTGAATTACAGCAAAGGACCACTTTCATTTTTAAATGAAAGCAAACATTCAAAGCTTTGTGCAGTTTAATTATGCTCTTTGATTTCATTTATCTGAGTGTTGCACTGTCCACATTTCAGAGAAACCCTTATTTTCTTGACAGAGTCAGATCTACCTGCTCGTGATTTTGGCAGTGCGATTCCATGTGTCCTGGTAGCAGGAGAATCATCCCATAATACTGGGGGTTGACAGCAGAGTCCCCCCGTGCAGTTGAGGGCATAAAATTGCATTTTTACATGGCTTTAGCAACTTCCCAACTGTCGTGTGCAAAGCAAACCGCACTGTAACTCACTGCTTAGCAGGTATAGCTGAGTCTTTACTGAAAGCATTTTGCTTGTGTCTGTACTAGTGCAAATGCATCACAAATTTTCTTGGGATAAAGACTTTTGCTCGGATGGGAGGGGTGGTTCACAGGTAAGACATAAATGTGCTTCAATCATCAGGGTGTCCTCAGCCTCCCTTAAATGACAGTGGCAAAGACCTTTTTTTCCTGAAAAAATGAGGATTCATGTTCCTTTAGACACTTGGGAGTTGAATACAAGAGGACTCTGTCCCCCGGCCCACTACTTTTCTGTTGTAAATCTGCTTCTCCGACCCTCTCCATCCCTATTCCCACATGAAATGCCTGTACAATTTTAATTTCCTGATGCTATTAAAACAGGTCATAGTTCCGTCTAGTTTCAAGATATTAAGAAAAAACCCCACACTTTTCAGCAAATAAAGTGCCTGACAAAAAGAAAAAAAACAATCCTGCTAAGTCGCTGCCAAAAAAAAAAAATCCAATTCCATTAAGTCTCTGCTGCAGACAGTTAAAGCTGCAGAGGGCAACGTAACAATATTTGATTTCTTTTAGGCACTTCACTCGTTTCCATCATCCACTGCATGGCAATTGCTACACCTTCAACAGTGGAGAAAATGGGACAATCCTGAGCACCTCCACAGGAGGCAGTGAGTACGGTAAGGAAACTTAGTTTGTAGAGGAACTATTAGATAACAAGCGGTTC